ATTATTCTTATCGGGGATCGACGTCGCGCGTCGTCGTAATTTCGATAAAAATAAATACTCACACTGCCACACTATATTACTATTAGTATTCGACATACGATTATTAAATTATTATATTATTTCGCAATCTGTGTTTGAAACATCGAGTCGCGTGTCGTGTGTCCGTACTTCGTGTATTTTACAAATCTACAAGAAACTAGAAAGTACCTAAGCAACTGATAAGTACTAAAAAATATTTTAAACTGTACCAAGGATAGTGTAGTAACCCGTCGCTCTCACTTGATTGGTTACTGCACACTTCTTTAACGACGAATGCACGTACACGTCGTCGCAATGAATCGGAGGATGGTGGTTGAAGTGAAGGTAGAGTAAGAAGTTTAACACAAAATGTAGTTAATTATTGATATATGTTTATTAACACGAAACTAATAATATACTTAATTTTAAGTAAGTTGAAATTTGTCGACAGAATAATAATTCTACCCGAGAATAGTTGTAATTTAAATTATACTTGATGTGGACGGCGATGCGGCTGTTTCTAGTCCGCGACCCACACAAGTATTGTAAAGCACTGGTAATTACTTCTATGTCTGAAAAGTCTGTGAAACAGGGCCCCTATTTATATGAGACATGCCCGGGATTTAGGAAAGGATGATTGACGTCATAGGAATGGCGTGATGCGTAGTCGATCAGTATTAACCAATGAGGCGGCAGCCTCACTGGCCTATTTTGGTGGCGTGATGTTATTCAGGCCACCTAACCTTTGGAACGCCGTTTTTGTGTAAAAACGTCGGTTTACTACAATAGTAACTAGTAAGGTTGTTAAATTAAATGGTTTTCTTATATAATTATCATTTTGTGTAGGTATTTAAATTTAAGTTATAATGAGTGATGGAAGAAAAAGGTTGAGTGGTTCTGAATTTGGAAAACGTTCTAAAGAAAAAAATAGAAAAGAACAGGAAGTTATTATAAGATCAAAGAAAATAAGTTCTTTGTTTACATCTAAAAGTATTGATAATACTATTAATACTACAAATACAAGTAATCAAATAATTGTCGACTCAGATTCTAGTTTTGTTGAAAATATTAAAATAATTGATAATGGCTTAAATAATAAACCTCCAGAAACAGAAAATATTAAATCTATTGATGATAGCTTAAATAATAAACCTTCAGAAATAGAAAATATTAAAATAATTGATGATTCTGAAAATATACTTCTAAGCAACAATAATAATACTAGTACTTTATCCAAAACTACTTTTTGTGTTCCAAAAGACCCAATAGATTGGATAATTGATAACACTACTTGTGATTATATTGTAATGCACGGCTTTAACCAAAATAAAAATTTGAACTTTTTAAACAGTAAAAGACAATACAATGATGTTAATAGATATTTAACAATTTCATTATTCGAAAGAAAATTGCTAAATGGTGAAAAATGTTTACGAACATGGTTAGTTTATTCAGAAAAAAAAGGATGTGTGTTTTGTGGACCTTGTCTTTTATTTGATAGAGATAATTATTCAAAATTTTCAAAAGATGGTTTTAATGATTGGAAAAATGCAGAAAGTAGAGTAAGCCAACATGAAAATTCCACCAAACATAAATCGAATTTGATTACTTTAAAAGAAAGAGCAAATACATTAGGAACAATAAACTTACAAAATGTTTATAAGGAAGATCTTGAAGAGGATTTTCCAAATGAATGTATTCATCTTCAAGTCCACCTTAAAAACAAAGATAAGATGTCAATCCTTCAATTGTGTAAATCGCTTAAAGAATATGGGTTTTACGAAATGTATCCAAACATAGATATAGCAATTCGTATTTTTGTGTGTACACCTGCAGCAAACTGTTCAACAGAGCGTTCATTTTCATGCTTAAAACGAATAAAAACGTACTTGCGTTAACAAATAAAACAAGAAAGATTAAACAGCATGGCAATTCTAACAATTGAGTCAAGTCTTCTTGTTTCATTACCATATGAAGATATTATAAAATCGTTTGCAAATAAAACAGCAAGACGTCAACTTTTAAAGTTAAAATAGTGAAGTTAAGTTTAGATATATTATAGATTAGTGTTAGAACTGTTAGAAGTTTTGTAAATCTATTTTATATGCATTTTAAATTTAAATTTGTATTATAAATATAAAGTTTTTTATTATAAAAAATATTGTAAATTGTAGCGTTTTACTTAATGCTCCTAACAATGGTTAAAGTTTTATTTTATTATTGATGAATGATGGTTTATAATTAATAAAAATTATCATTGTAGGTTTTTATTCAAATTCAGTGAACAACCATTGATATTTTTTTCAAAGTAGGCTAAATAACTTCAGGCGAAAAAAATAGTCTAAAAATTAAAATGGATGTCCACTACTATTGTCTATATATTAAATATTTAGAGTAGGTATTTTGGAGGGGTATTGTAACTTTTTCACCTATTATAGGAGCGGAAAATTGTTGGTGCCTATAGCCGTAAAAAAGATAAATCCGCCTCTGAGTATCATATTATAACAATTTATATAGTGTACAATATTGTTTGTTGAACTAAAATTATTTAGATAACAGTTTACTAACAGTTTTATCTGTTCTTATTTATTCTTAAAGCAATTACCAGAGAACAAGTTCCCAGTAAACGCACATCGTCAGATGCTCTTTTAGATGAAAGCAATGTAATTGCTAACAGGTTGGCTGACTTGGGAGAGCGTAAATTGTTGGCCAAACAAAAATATTGGGACCAAAAACTTTTACTTTTGGCTGAACAAAATGAATATTTAAAATCTATTAGGGACTCCTTGCTTTCAAACCATAATAATGAAAAGAGTAATATCATTTTTTTATTTATCATTATTCTTATTTATAACCTTATTAACTACTATTTTTTTTTACTATATTAATTTCAATTGAATAATACTATTCAACAAAACCATATAGGAACAGATCTAGTTCAAAGTTATCTTTCTATATTTCTTAATTTCTTAATTATTTCCTATAAATGCAAATTTCTATAAATTCCTAGCCTGCATTTGTTTAATATTATATAGATCTGCGTCTGTAATCATATCATAATATCTTATTTGCGTTTAATATGTAGTTATTGTCTGACTAGTTTTTGAAATTGTATTAATTAATATTTCTTATATATATATTTGTGTGTGTGTGTGGGAGTGTGTTTTATATTATCATTTAATTAAAGACTATCTAACCAAACATAAATGTAATAAAATAATTAATAGCGCTAGTGATTTTAAATGTTTACCTATAAACTAAAATCTTTTCTTAGAATATAACACTAAAAGTTGACCCTTTTTAAATTAAGTACATCATTTTGAAAACATTGTATGTCAATGATAATACTCATGATGTGAAGTATGATTGGCTTTCTTTATTGTTTATTTGATGTACATAAGATAGATTTAATTAAATGATATTATATACCTATTGTAGGTATGTATTATTTTTATTATTTTACAATTATTGGTAAACCTATAACATTTTGTTTAATTGTTTCTTATTATTCTTTTTATTTGTTTATTTTTTCTAGCATAATAGCAATGGTCTCCTTTCCACATTTCCATTTTATTTAATCACAATTCACAATGTTATCTATTTTTTTTATACAAATGTCTTATTTCTCCTTTATGTTTATAATTCCTTCATTATTCACTTTATCCTATTACTACAGTACCTATATTTATAGTGCTACTAACTTATCTTACTAATAGTAAAAATTACTTAATTAAAATAAAATATTTTAGACCGGATGTCAATTATTAAAAAAGTTTTAATTTATTTTCCTTGTATTAAAAACTGTTACTCATTTTGTTCAAAATTGCGTACAACACATGTACGTACACGTCTTCCATTATCCAAATCATTGGATAAAGTCATTTTCACGTTGGCCAATATTATTTCTGTACATGCCAAAATCAATGTCAATCATATTGTCTATAGGCTCAGGCTCATTGTATGTTATACACATATTGTGTAATACTACGCAAGCATTTATTATGGCTGTAGCTTTTTCAGGGGCATAGTGTAGAACTCTATGTTTCAGTAGGCACCTTAAATAATTAATGATTATGCTAAATTCTGATCATAGGTTCTAGGAACTAATTATTTTAAAAATGAATACATACCTAAACCTCATTTTTAGCAACCCATTACACCTTTCAACTAAACTTCTAGTGTGCATTTGTTTTTTATTGTACAGTTCCTCATTTTCATTGGCCGGGTTTTGAATTGGTGTTAAAAGCCAAGGTCTAAGTGCATATCCAGAGTCTCCTAGATAGTAGATACCAAGTATATTTAAATCCAGTTAGCAGTTATATTACCAGTGTTAGTAGGATAACTAATACAAACAGTGTATGCAGGATAACAAGAGGTGTAGGGTATTTTTACTTGTAGGTAATTAAAGTTAAATACATACAATGTTATTTAATGGAATAAATAGTTTATACCAGCACTGTATACTAATACTTAAGAGGACGCCACAACTGTAATTTTATCTTCAGAAAAATGTAAGTTACACATTTTGAAGGCAATTTATTTATTCGTGCAGGCGTTATTTTAGATAGGTAATCCACAAGTGATTCTTAATAAATCGGTTTTTGATTTCATAGTTGTTATTACAATAGTTATTTAATTTTGAAAATAAGTCTTACTAATTGAGTATTTATAGAATGATAATTTTTTCTGTTAACATATAAATGTTTAGGATAGTCGTTTTCATCACTAAGAATTCCCGATGGAGGTACAATAGCAATATGAGTGCAATCTATGCACCCACATACTCCAGGAAATCCTGTTTTCATATAAAATCTAATAACTAAAAAATGTTAATTAGTAGTATGAAGAGTATTTCAAACTGTGTGTAGACATGTAGTGAAGGTATTATAATATTCAGTGGACAGTGGTATACTGTATACTGGCATACGTCCTATCATTGATTATAAATAGTATTTATAATCGATGGTCCTATATAATATACATTATACATACTCATTTCGCAACTGTCTTAATTCCGACATATTTTTAGGAAATTTTACCCCATTATGGAAAATGCTAGGGTGGTTCAGCGCATTAGTTACTTCGCTTATACTGCGTGAAACCGAAGGTTGAGACACTGCACTATATCTGGAATTACCTGTTGGCAACTGATATGACCCAGTTCCGAAAAACTGCAATGCAATTAAAACCTAAGTACATATTTTTACATTTAAAATAGTATAAGTACCTACCTTATTATTGTTATTAATTATTATTTATTACCTTATTTTGGATGCTCAAAGTCGACGTACGTTTTGGTGGTTCCATAAATGGAGTGACTAACTCGATTAAATATTTTGTTAAAACTTTACTCAATCGGTAAGTTTTTATAAAAAGATGATCACTTAATGCTAATAAAGGGTCTTCTTTAATGCCAAACGGTTGTCTGGCATTTCGAGCTTCTTGCCTCCCTATATTAGCAATAGCAAACATCATAGCTCTTTCATATTCATTCGCCATTATTGTTATATTTAATAAAATATTAACTCAGCAGTTATAAAATAAAACAACAATAATAAATTAACAAAATGAAAAGGTAATCGACAATCGTAATACAAGTACCTAAACACAAGAATACAAGATGACTTATCAATAATCATAGTATTCTGCAGTTGATTTGTGTGAAATATATTAAATCTATGGTGTTCGAAATTAACAAATCATTCGACTAAATTTTGTCGAATGCGATATAGCAGTAGACATAATGTCGAACGTTTTTCGTTCGAGAAAAGTCATACATCATTTCGAGAATACCATGGACGACGAATCGATCGAGTTCTGATTTATGTCGAATGTGACAAAATTCGAGAATAGGGCCCCAGGTCACTATAATATTGAATGATACTTGAAAAAGTAAATAATATATGTGTTTCCATCTCATCTGGGAGTTACTATTCACAGCAATTGACATAGTGACAAAATAAATTATATCAATTCACGGTGGCGTAGTATGTAGTAGCACACTACATCATATTATAATTATTATTTATTACTGAATAAAATAGTTTCATCAATGGTGTTTTAATATGTAAAAAAACTGTAATAATAATAAGAAAAAAAATAATCAACAGCAATTCGCAGTGTTGTAGTGTATACAGAATGTTGTATTACACATTATCTTATAAAATATATTATAATGAACCGAAGAAGAAAGAAACACAGCTATTAAATGGTGTTTAAACAAAAAATACCTACAACAGGCGTTTGAACACTATCATAAAAATGCAAATAACATAATAATATGCAGTATCTTATCATTTATATACCTAGTACCTATCTATGCATTGTACAGTATGAAATGTACAGTATGAATTGGTTTTTAAATCGTTATTAGTTATTCATACTATTATAGTTAAATGTTGTGCTTATAGCATTTGTTGTCAAAACAAAGTATTTAATTAAGTAATTTTTTTTTTCTCTTTTCGAGGGTATCCATTCCCTGACCCAAGAAATGTGTTTATTTTAATAAATCGTTATTGAACAAATGCACTATGAGTACCTATGTCGTTAAAATCAATTATATGTTTTCCACCGGGCTTCGGCAGCCAAAGCGATAACATGTGCGCTGTTCCGTAATGTGTTACGTATCTTATCAGTTTACTTTTAATTGCCATGGCTAATGTGGTTTCTCCTATCGTTATCATTAACAAAACACCGTTCGCAAATCGAAAATGAATGCCAATCCAACAAAAAGAGCCCTCTCATCGTCATCGTCATCACCAAACTCTCCGGTCCACGATGAAAAAAAGAGCAAAGTTTTTGTTTCCCCAAACCGTTTTGAAGTCTTAAGAACGGAAGACGAAGAACTTGATATCGCCGACCTCCCCGTCTCACCATCCAGCATAACGTTGCCAGTTCAGAATAACCTCAAACTTCCTAACATCGTCCTTAAAAACGTAAGTGACTTTACTACTCTCAATAAGGATCTTACCCGTTTGGTGGGCCCAGAGAGCTTCACCTGCAAGGCTAAAAAATCCAGTTTAATTCTACGGACAAATACACAAGCTCAGTAATATGGCCATTAAATCTTATCTGATCGATGCCGCCTGTGATTTTCACTGTTATCAACCCCGCGTTGTATTACGTCACCTTCACCACTCTACCACCACCGAGGACATCATTAATAGCCTAAGTGACCTTGGACACAAAGTTATCAGCATTTCAAACATACTCAACCGTACAAACAAATCGCCATTTCCGTTATTCAATATTTCCCTAGCCCGCAACAGCAATAACAACGACATTTTCAAAATAAACAAATTGTTTAACTCAATTGTGAAATTCGAGCATCCAATAAGGCCACTTGGTCCTCCCCAATGTCACACCTGTCAAATGTATGGACATACACGCAATTATTGCCACCAACCTCCGCGTTGCGTGAAATGTGGGTTAAGACACCTCACCGAAGATTGCTCTAAAACACGGGAAGAACCCGTTAAATGCGCCAACTGTAACGGTAACCACACTGCCAACTAAAAAGGTTGTCAAATATTTAAAAATTTACTAAAGCGCACCATTTACAAAGTCGCTTACAAAGCTGACAAAGTTGAAAAACCGAAAAAACACCCCAGCCCACCTGTTGCACCACAAATCTTCAAAGTCCCCAGTTACAACTCAAATCAAAAACCGACATCTTATGCCAAAGCCACAGCCAACTCTTCATCAGTCAATCAACCCCTCCACATCATCAACAAATTTATTGAAGATCTAAAATGTATTTTAAACCCTCTTCTATTGGCTCTTACCTCCCTAATTAACAAAATTACACTTCCCATTTCGTCCACTCCATGACATCCCTCACCCCAAGTTAGAGGGTACCCACACTGGTGGGCCTCCCTCCTCAAGCCATTCGTGTTATTATTATTTCATTCATTATCTAATTTACTTATTGTATCATAAAAAATACAGATTGTAAATATTCTATTTATCTAATAAAAAAAAAAAAAAAAAAAAAAATGTTTTCCAAATTATTTATCATTATGATATTCACTTAATGAAGAACTAATACTCTTCAGTGACACAAAGATACAAAACAAATATTGTCAATGTAAATATAATTTAGTTTAATAAATTGCAAATTTACATACACAGCAGTAGTAATAATCTAATAATTGAATACAAATCTTAAAATAAAATAAAATCACAATTATTAGCACAATAGAAATCAACTGAAATACATTAACTATTAAATTGTTTTTAACACAAAACAACTACTCTTTTACTACTGAGCAAAACAATTACTACAATGTCAATTATAAAGTACGATATGTTCCTGTATAGTGTAAGTAGTATATATGTACCGTTCCTGGCGCACCTCATAATATATCAGTAAAAGATCACAAAGAAAACAATGTGCAAAAAGATCAGAAAATTGAAATGCAATAATAATTAAAAAAATTTTTCGCAAAACTTATGAAATGCAATAATTATAAAAACATTTTTCACAAAACTTATGAAATGCAATAATAATAAAATAAAAATCGAAATGCAATAATAATAAAAACATTTTTCGCAAAACTTATTAAATACATTTTCACCCCCAAAATATTTTTCATAATACTTATGATATTAATAATTAAAATCGAAATGTAATAATAATTAAAATATTTTTTAATAGAATTGTTCTATTAAAAATAAAAATCGAAATGCAAAAAACTTATATATTTAAACGCGTGTCCAATTCGGACACACGTTAAATATCAAATATTTTTCTAATCTTTTTGATTTTGATTTCTAATCAATGTATTGAGATGGTTTACAAAATCATTTCTATCTATATTTGTTTTATAATGTCCCCAAGCTAATGTATCAATACCATTTTCCAAAATAAATCTTTTATCATCATAAACACTTAAAGCTTTTTTGTTTTGTTCTACAGTAAAAATATCATGTTTCTTAGTTCTAAATAAATTTTGTTTAACATATTTTGATTCTTTTGTTAGTAAACATTTTTCAAAATCATTAAAACATATTTTATTTTCTACAACATTTTTTTTAACACCTTTAGCTTTTTTAATTTCTTTTTCAGTATCTAAGATTCGATGAGAATATAATTTAGATCTTAAACCTATAAATTCAGTCATTATTTTTCCATTTAACTCATCTTTAAACTTGCCTAAAACTTTTTTGTTAACTAAAGGTAAACCATAAATATTATCTTTTAGATAATCTGATGTGTCAAAATGATCTAACATAATTTTCATATCTTGATAAAAATCATTAGTTTTTATTTCTAATATTAGTGAATCTGTATCTGTATATAACAATCTAACTCTATTTCCATATTTTTTCTTTATAATATTATAATAAAAATCATACATTAACATTTTAGATAAATCTAAAATACACATTCCTATATATATTGGTTGTTTGAAAGATATTTGTGTTCTTTTCATATGTACGGCAGCTAAATTTTCTGTAAAAATTGTCCTTCGATCAAAATTTGGTTTTGTAATTAATTTTTCTAGTTGGTATGCATTAGAACATAATCTTATATCAACATGATTTCTAACATTCATCATAGTACGTCCATAAACACTATTATTCATTAATTTGAAAAATTCTTTTTCAAACTCATTCTTAGCTTCTGATCTAAGATTAGTATTAAAATCAATATAAACTTTTAACCAAGGAGATTGACTAAATTCTAATACTCTATGAATTTTCTCTATCTTTAAACCTAAATTAATATATAATTTTAGTGTTTCATAATGTATTATATATTTTTTCTTATCATACAAAGTTGTTAATAATTTTGGAAGTTGTTTGTTATCAAAATGTCTTTCTGGTGCTAAAGGGAAATCTGAATGTAGATCATGAAGTTCTTTAGGGATTAAGATAAATCAACTTCTAAAATATAACCTTTACGTGATTTATCAGAAATATTCATTACATCAAAATCATTCAGATTATCAACCCATTTGAAATCTCCAGTAGGTAAATATTTACTCATTGCCCAACCATAAAGATTATTTGCATCTAAGTATTCTAAAAATATTGATTCATCCTTTTTTTTAAATTTATCTCCCATGTATTTATTATTTGCTTTTGAATATCTTTGACTGCATTGAGATAAGCCACCTCTGATTCCAGATTCAAACATCAATATTTGATCTATATCTGTTAATAAATCTAATTTTACATTTGTCATTCTTAACATGCAATCCCATGCAAATCCTGGTGTTGTGTAATACCACATAGGATCTAATTTATAATTTTTTAAAGAAATGTCTCTAAAATTTTCTATTATATCTGTTGATAATAAAACATCGATCTTATTATATAAACTAGTGAATTCACGCATATTTTGTATATTAAAAACTTTCCAAATTTTCTGTGAGTTTTCATATTCCTCTTTAGTTATATTTTTATCAGTGAGAGAACTATAAAATTTTTCAAGAGGAGGTAAACATGTTTCATTAAATTTTTCTTCACAATCCATATACTCATAGGGATAAGCT